CTATACGCAGTTTTAGTTAAATATTAAATATTAAATATAAAAATATACGCGTTCGCCTTCAACAATGACACGGGAATCCATCTCTTTTTCTATGCTAATATCAAGCATCCGTACTCGAACCTAACCTCATTTTCCATGCCGGTATCAAACGCGGTTTAGAGAGAGCTCTACAGAGATTCGCATACGTCAATCGGTTCTGCTCGAAGGCGACACGTGTAACGGAAAATATGAGGGTGGCCACTTTGGACTTACATTCCGCTTTATAAACATTCAACAAGTGGCAACGGGTCCATCGACTCGTGGAACTTCTCGGTTCGCCGAGTGTTCCTTTTAAAATCGATCGAACTGCATAAGTATTCCCCCGCGTAACGGGACGAACTTTCTGCTGTTTAGTTTGCCGGATTAAGCTGGGATTCTTTCAAAGTATCGGCCCGCGCGAAATCGATTGCGAATTCAGCGCGCCGTCTGGCGGGGTACGTCGGCGAATTTTTCCACCGTTTAAACGTCGCCAAGTTTCCGCGTTAATCCGCCATCTTGGTCTGCTGGGGCGAATGGACGATTCGTGGAGCGAAATTTCATTCGGTGGACGCTTTTCGACGGGTTCTTTTTATTCCTCGTCTTTTTACACAAGGATTTCGCATTTTGGGAAGATCCTCATTTATTTAACGACGCATTAGGTTCGCAAGGAAAAACTCTTTTGGTAGGTTAGGTTAGGTTGGAGATTAATTGGAGGTTGGAGGTAGTAGAATTTTTGGTGATGATTGATATTTAGAAAATAAATATCTAGTAGTGATATTGATAAGTGAATTTTAAAGCATTGAATAATTAGGAAGAAAATATTATTTTGCATCTTATTATAATAGTTATATTATAATAATTTATATGTTATTATTATTTGTATCAATTCTTCTTTAGCAGAGAGGAAAATAGTAAAAAAATACCGTAATAAAAATTCCCATAAGTAGCACCTCTCTGTTACCCCTACAGTCTCATCCAAAAATAATGAGAGTAATATCGGAAAATAAAATATTCTTAAACGCAGTGGTACCTATAACAGTGTCCCAAATACAGCGTGATAATCACTTGGCCATCGAAGTACTCCGAATTAACACGCATCTGCCAAATTCATTACTGTCGTTACGTATTCCGATTCCGAATTCATTCGAACGCCAGTCCGGTACATTGAGGCAGAAAAATATTCGCAATATTCGCGAGTATCTCGCTGGCTCATCGACAATGACAAAGCTCCGTTCCTCCTTCAAACGAGCTTAAACACGAGCGAAGGGACATTTGCAACGAGCGAACGCGAAAATAGCCCGTAAAGCAGCAATAAAATGTGAATTTTCTGCTCGCTGGAACGTTCGAACGCCCGAAACACGGGCTTTGCCCCTTTTTAAGCGCGGGCTTCATAAAAATTTGAATGCAATTCACTCGCGGGATCCCGTGTGTGTCGCGCAATTTTCCCAGCTTTTTTCATGAAAATTTCCCTCCTTCCCCCTCCCCTCTTTCACCGCGGAGTGGGTGGTGGCGAGAGAAAAAGGGCTGGAAAAGGGCGAATGAGAGAGAGAGAGAGAGAGAGAGTGGGTGAGACGGATCGATTGCAGAGCATTTATATTTATTACTCGTTTGTCGTTTCGCTATTCTAATTTCAACTGGGACCCGACACCGAGCCGCCTGTAATTACGGGCATTTAAAAGCTTCGGCGACGTGTACTTTAGTTTGTAAACAATTTGAAACGCGCCCAGGCCCCGTAAGCCGAATTAATGGGCTCACTTTTAATTACCACTCCGCGCACACCGCCATTTGCCACCCCCCTTTTTTCCCCCGTTTAGTTTAATTGTTCGTAACGATTGCCTCGCGTGCTTTTTTTTATCGCCATTGCATCTCGTAAGTTCCTGCGTCTTTTCGTCCTTCCTCCTCTCTCTCGCCGGAAGTCCCTGCGAAATTCAACGAGATCTCTTTCCTTTTCCCTTTTTCTCACGTATGGCTGCGCGGTAGTATACCTTTATATACTTGTAACCGGTGGTATGGAAGGATAATGGAAGCGAAGTTTAAGAACGAAGCAATAAATGCCAAGAGACTGTCAAAAGGAATGGAATCTAGCGTGAAGATAAGGATACGTGTATATTCGAGGACCTGGAGTTGCTATAAAGGGAAATCCGCAATCAACGGAAGCGATAGGAGAGTGATAGAATTCAGGTTCTGAAAATAAAGCAGCAACACGAGGCTATCGAAAGGGAACGAATTGCATCTAAAGGACGAAGATAAGGATAATAGAAACCCGACTGCGCCGATAAAAAGTAACATCGCGCAGTCGGTATAAAGGAAAACGCTAGAAGAATAGCAGAAACCAAACTTGAAAAATTAAGCAGTAGCGTAAGACCGTTGGCAAGAATGGAACGTCGCCACAAATGGAGCTCCATGACAGAAGAAAGCCATAGGCAGACGGTAAAATAAAGTTCTAGCAACGGTAAAACGCAGTAATAGTATTAAAAAGAAGAGATAAACTGTAGAAATAGTATACAATTAAAACAGAATTAAAAAATAAATCATAGTTACTACGTATGTATCACGTACAATCCAGACTGAGGTCTCACATCCTCGATTCCTTGGCATTTATTAGATAATAAGTAAATAATAGATAATACGAAACGTGTATATAAGTGTAAATAAGCCACACCTAATAATAGTTGGAAATAGAACAATACAAATTAT